GCTCCAGGGGCTGTGTTACAGGGACGGAGCTGGAGGCTCTGCAGCCCCCGGACCCGCAGGGCAGGGCCACGTCTTCTGCACCCAAGGAAGGTTACAACAAATCTGGCTCAGTTACGAGAAGTGAACCGTGTGAGAGGTGTTGGATTTCAATCAGAGAAGGCAGCTGAGCCGAACCGGCACACTTGAAGCAGAAAGGGTTGATACGGGATGGTGCTGGACAAGGCTGCCTGGACTTGGACATCCAGCAAGCTCCAGGTGTGGGGCTGGAAGGTTACAGAGAGGAGAGGAGCACCAATTATTTTTAGGAGCGCAGCATCTTTTGACTTGCAACCACCACTGCTCATCCAGTGCAGCTCATACAAAGGTTTGGGAATGAAATCCTCACCGTATTCAGCCGGACAGAGGAGCGCCTGTGGGCTGCAGTGGAGTTTGCGATGGACCCGCTGGTTCTTTCCCTTCAAGCTCACAGATTTTAGGAGGATGTGCAAAGCGGAATGGAGCCTTTTCTTGCTTCTCATGCCTTGCAGGACGGACACAAGCCACCTCCGTGCCAGCTGGGCAGAGGGGAAGGGCACGGGTCCCACGGGACACTTGGCCAAAACGGGGCACGGAGGCACTGAGCTGGCCCAAATGGAGCCGGGGTGAGGGCTGGGGACCTGGGCCCCTTTCTCCAAGCTGGCAGAGCTCCAGCTGCACCCTGCGCATCCCCACCGCTGGTTATCTAATAAAACGAGGTGATGGGGGTGGGAGAGCGGGGCCGGGGCCCCCTCAGGGGCTGCAGCCTCGCCTCGGGAGCGTCTCCGCCTGCGCCGTCCCGCCTGAGCCATTTGGGGGGGCTCCATTTGGGCAACGAGCGCCCCGGCGTTAATTGCGCATTGTGTGTGCCGTGTGGCCGCTCTGCATCTGCCGCTGGGTAATTTCTCGTGGCCCGGCTTTGTTCGCTTTGTCTCCCACACAAGAGCCACCGACCCCTATTCACTTCCCCCCCGTGCCACTGCCTGAGCCCATCCGGCTCCCTCCTCCTTTCTTCCCCTCCCCTGTCAATTCTCCGCGAGACAAAAAGGGTAATTTATTTAATCGCTGCTGATCTAATGTGCTAAGGCTCTCCTTTACCCTTCAACAGTTAATTACGCTTGTTAATTATTTTAATTACTCCCAGGGTAATGGTCCAGGTACAGACGAGGACCCCACTGGGCTGCACAGGCACGGGCAGAGCGCAGAGGTCTGGGTTTACCCCAAGGAGCCGCGTTCCTGTACCTCACATCAACCAGCCTGGGACAACACGGGGGGGCAAAACGGGAGCAGGGAAAAAATTTTGGAGAGATTTGTGATTTTCTGTAATGGGAAGCAGCACAGGAAGGTTTCTGGGAGGCCTTAGGGGACGGCAGCTCCTGCAGGGCTTCCCTTGGCCTGGCAGCGGAGGTGTGGGGAGGGGAGCCCAGCCCTTCCCCTCGGTGGCAAAAACGCTGCTTTTGGTGCAAAACGGAGCGGGGACGTGGCACGGAGCTACGGCTGGCACCCCGGGAAAGGCAGACGGGGCTCTGATGGAAGAAATGTGCTCCAGCTCCGTCCCAGGCTCCGCTGCCCACCTGCAGCAGTGCCTTGGGGAGCCGTGGCCCCAGCCCAGCAAACCCAAACACAGCACCTGCGGTCGCAGAGGCACCGACGGGATCCTCGGAGCGAGGGTGAGAGCAGAGTTGCTGCGATCTAACTCTCCACAGCCTCTTTTATCTTCCTGGGGGGAAAGCAAGCGGAGGAGAAGCAGAAGGCCTTGTGGCTAAGACGTCTCACATCTGGTTTCAGCTCCCAGAAATGCACTTCCACCCCCCTCCCTGCATCGCTAACGTTAAACAAACGAAACCCCGGTGATTTTCCTGGATTTCAGTGCCCGGATAACTCACGAGGAGCTTTCGCTGAGGATTCCAGGTTTGCGCTAGCCCCGATCCCCTCTGCGAGCAGCGCTCCTCGCTTGGCTGCCAGGGAGGTGCCTCGGGAGGGCAAAACCACCACGGCCTCACCTCCGGCATGGGCATGGGCACGGGCAGAGGAGCAGCTTCCACCAGAGGAGCCTCTCCTGGGCACCACAGCAGTGCCCCAAAATCAGAACCCTCGCCCCCAGCCTCCAGTTGCCCCCAGCCCCGTTTCCGTGCCCCGACGGTAGCCCCGCAGCGATGCGGTCCTGAGGCTGGTGATTTCCAGCGGGATGAACCTGGTTTGGATCTGCCCAGGCCACTCTAATCTTAGGTTTCCATCCCGTGTTGCTCTCTGCCTTACTTGTGCTCCCCCCCCCTTTTTTTTAAGAGCGTCTGGAATTGTTTAAGACGCGTCCAATTGTATTAAAATGCCTTCGAGAGCTCTGTGGTGTCGGGTTGATTTCCACACTTTCAGGAGCTTTCTCATTTGCGACGTTGCTCCTTAAGCACCTCCTTCCCTTCCCTGCCTTCAGGTGCTGCCTCGCTCCCAATTTCACCCTAACACCCTCGGACACCGCTCAGGTGTTGCTGTTTGATGCGTTTTGAGCCATTTCCTCAAGAAAAATCAGCATTGCCTTTCTCTGGGGCCCTGCCCACAGGCTGCCCTCCCCACGTCACTGTGCCCCTCTCCTGTCCCCAGCCCGGGGCTGGTTTTGGGAGTTGGGGAGGCCCGGGGGAGGTTCCTCCAGCGCCTCGGAGCCCGAGGGGTGTTCTCAGCTCCCTGGAGCCCGGCCATGGGAATCAGGTTTCAGAGCCGGGGCTCCTGCGCCAGCTGCTTGGAGGAGGAACATCACCGCCGGGACAATTAGGAAGAGGAGCCATCCGTTTCTATTCAGGGGATCCAATTTGCTTTCTCCTTCATCAGATTAACACCAGCGTAACTCCATTACCTACCAGGGAGTTGCTCTTCGGCTGAAAATCGGAGCCATCGGGTCTCCCGGCTTCTGCGCGCAGCCCCTTCGATCAGAGGCGCAGAGGTGGCCATAGGGTGTACCTGCAGCTCTCCCAGAACGTGCTTTGGGCAGAGCGGGTTATTTTTCCTTTCCTCCCATTTTAAACTCGTCATTTACCCCCTTTTTCCCCCAAACACAAGGACCTCGTGGCAATTCTCATTTTCCACTTGTTCGTGGGAGCTGTGCCTCTTCTCCCCCGATGAAGCGTCGTCGTGCCGCTTCCGAACCACCTCTACCTTATCAATCCGTCTGCCACATCCGTCCTCGGGTCTCTAATTGTATAATTAAGAACGATAATCAAACTCTCGTAGGCAATTTGGGCTGTTCTGTGCCGCGGAGCTCCCCTTGGTGCAGCGCCCACAGACGAGGAGCTGGCAGAGGGCAGGCGACGCGTCCAGTTGTGCAACTCGCCCCAACGCCCCAGCGCTCAGACAAGTTGGGGATTTGAGCAGAGGTCTGGCTGAAGGCTTCTTGAGCAATTCGCTGTACTTATTTGAAAGAGGAATCTGATTATAACAATAGTTATAGAATTAAGAACAACTTGGCCCCGGCGCTGGCAGGGGGAGAAATAACCAAAACCAAACACTCAATTGTACGGCTCCGGGGAGCAGCCCCCGTTACAGCGGAGACCCGACGGGACACGCAGGGTGACCTCACTTCGTGCAGGCGGGCTCTGACGCTTTGGCACGCGGACGAGCCCTTTGCTCAGAAGAAAATACCGACCCTATTCACCCTGCCTGCTATTATTTAAATAACAATGCCTGAGACACTGAGACTGGGGGACAGAACTGCAATGGTTTGGTGCTGCTGAGGTTTGGAGCTCACCTTCCTCGCGGTCCCCGATTTGCTGTTTTACGCCCTGTTGGAGAAACCATCTGGAGGGGGAGTTATTGCAGTTATAAACCACGTCATTCCAAAATGCATTTTCTCCTTTGGGATTTTCCTCTCTTTGGGATTTCTCGCCACCTTCAAGCAGCATTTGGCCAGCCCCTGAGATTTGGTCAGACACCTCCTGTGTCCAAAGCACGGGGAGGTCCAGGACACACCCAGGAGCTCCCAGCACCACAACCACGCACGCTGAAACATCACGTCGCAGGCAGCGCCCTCAGGTACTGACCAGGGGACACACATTTAATAAGACATCACACTGGGCCACCGAGTTGGACGTTGGGTGTGAGATTAAACATGCAGGCACCTGGAATTTCACATTTGAGCTGCAAAACAGCCTCATGCAAAGCACGAGGCTTCTGCATTGCAGATGTTTCTCTTCCTGTTAAATACACGCTGCAGTTGGTCATCAACGTGGAGAGACTTCATATAAAATGCGGCTTCGAGAGGAAAATGTGAAGTGTCCTTGAAAAACTTGCAGAGAATAGCTGCAGCAACCGAAATAAGATCAGGTACAACCCGTAGTAAAGCCCAGTTTGTGCTGCCCAGTCCAGCTGCCGTTTCCCAGTACAAGCCCGCAGTATGGAAACCACTTTCTGCGCACACACCACCGTGCTAGGGGAAGCTAACCGAGTCCAGGAGAACATTTTGCAAGTAATACATTTTTAAAGAAGAGAACTATAAACAAAAGTTATGTAAGTATGCACTTGAAAAGTGCTGTGAACGTTTCAACATCGTAGCACAAAACTATTTTGTACTCCGAAGGTTTGCTGGCCGTGCAGCAGCCCCTGCTCTTCTGCACTGTTTCCAGGAGGCAGGAACCCACTAAAATCCTAACCAACAGGCAGGGGAACGTAAAGGAGACAACACCCTTCGGAATTTATAGCACTGACAGAGCTTAAGGCACACGGGACAACAGCAATATCTCGTTTTCACTCGAGTGTGCAACAGTTTTACAAGGTAATCCTTCACCTGGAGCTCCCACGGGGCGTAAGTCAGCGTGCTTCAAATGGGATCGCCTGTTCCCATCCCAGCTGCGGGGAGGCTGCCCCATGAACTCGTTTCTGTTTACACCCCTGCACAGGCGCGCTTTTAGCTGCAGAGGTTCCTTCAGCCTCAGGCCCTCTCCTCCTGCACCTCTCCGGGAGGCTGGCGGCTCTCCAGCAGCACAAGCAACAAACCACAATCAGCTTTTGAGGAGTCTTTTTTATTAAGATAAATCCAGCAAAATTCCTAACAGTGGGTACATACAACCAACCTGCCCTTCTAAAAGAAATGTTTGTATTTCATTTAAAAACATGATTACACTTTTATTTATTTTATTTTTTTTTCAAAACTGACAAAATAAAATTACATTTGGGAAACAACAGATTTCCAGCTCTTAGGTTTTTTCATGAAAATAGCTCACCTTCTTTATAAAAGCAACCCACAGAACCACTGGAATGTTTAACACAGTTATTTGTTTTGAGACCTCCCCACTTTAAGAAACCATACAACACATACAAGGGTAAAATTAAAATCTGAAGTCTGTAAGCATGACTTACACAAAAAGGGACACACTGACAGAAGTCAAAAGCTACCACCACTTATTCTTTCCATGTACCATACAAACTATTACAATCACAAAATTTAAAAACAATGATTTTTTTTTTTTGTTTTCCTTTGTTTGTTAGGGATTTAATTCCCAAGTAACCGAGATGAAGATGTTCCATAATTAAATTCATGCTAAAAAAACCTGCATTTATAAAATAGTTGATAAAAATATTCCTCTCTGTTAACAATACAGCATGGAGGTACGGATACCAAATGATGGAGATATAGGGCAGGGTTAACATTACTCGGACTTGGCTTCCTTATCATCAGATGCTTCAGCAGCTGGTGCCTATAAAAGTGTTTGGGAAGAATAAAAATATTATTTGTAACGCTAATCGGATTCCGTTCTAACAAGCATCAAAGAGAGACTAGTTTGTTAGTACACACACGGACAACACTTGGTGTAGATAGACAAGAATGCACGGCTACTACCAAAAACACCAACACAACACCACGTTGGCTGATGGTAAGTCTAAAAATTGAAACGCAGGAGGGCATTATTTGGTGATGGAATTAATACTGGAGCGTTAAGTGAATCCAAAGAGGCAGGAATTTGGAACGTATTTAAGATAAGGATCGATCGTATGCTAGGGAAAGGTCACGTCCTCATCTCCGTACGTCACAAGGAAGCGTAAGAATCATACATGAAATAACGATACTCGTCCAAGCTGCAGGGAAGGTGGTGCTCCCCTGTTTTCTATCAAAATGCCTGCTCTTAGTCAACACTTTAAAATTGCAGAGCTCCTACCAAAGATCTTTTCAAGTACAACAGCCCCACGTTAATTTTGAGCAGAGAAGATTGTGAATTAGTCTGAAGAAGGAAAGACTGAACAACCCATTGACTGCACAGCGATACTCAACAGACACACGAAGAGATCACTGCAAATCGAAAGCGACAGAGTACACAAGAGGCTATTCCACGCCTACAGGTAGCAAATGTTGCACTTCTACTATCAGCAAGAAAATTTCTAGGAAAAAGCCATCGGGAGCCGACTGAAGCTTGCAGCTAGTCCTAGCAAACGGCAGCTTAGGTAAGTAGCTGAGACAGTAAGAACCTGTAAGAAAGAGGCTTGCAGATCAAGAGACAAGACCACGTTTTGCTTTGCAGAACTCTTGTTGAATTGTTCTGATGCGAAGAATTGTTTTAAAGGATTGTGTAAAACTTAAAACCAGATTTCTGGCACAGTACCAACCCGTGCTGAGCAGAAGAGGCAATCCAGCAGTCCAGAGAGGATAGGCAAAGGCAGCTCAGGGTTGGATCGCAATCCTTCTGAGCTCTATTGTTCCCCAACCATTCTGCATTGCTCTTGTGCCAACACAGAGCGGGACACTAGGAAAGCACAGACCACCTGTGGAAGGGCTCTGCCCCAGAGCAGGACTGAGGTGGAAGGAGAACGCTATTCTTTCAGGCTCTCCCTGGGAGTCGCCCCGTGCAGACACTGCAGCTGGTCTGTCTTAACAGGACGGCAGTGAAACACGCCACCTTGACAGGGAGGCCCCAATCATTAGCTCCTGCAGACGTATTAGCAATACATCTGTGTTTATTCCCATGTTTACTGTAGCTAAGGTACCTCGTTAGTTTTGGTATCTCCATTTTCAGAGTGGTTTTCTTCTTTAGCATCCTCTTGTTTAGTTTCATCTTTGCCTTTGGCTCCTTTCTTCCCTTTTGTTGCTGCCTTTTTGTCCTCCTTTTTATCATTTGCTGCCTTTTCTTTCTGTTAAGAAAACAGACCACGATATGGTAAATGCTGATTTCCACCCCGGACGCCTGCGTTCGCACATTCTCAACTCCAAAGATGAGATCAAAGTTTCCAGGGAGAAGAGTTTCCCTTCCGCTGTGCCCCGAACGTGCTACTGGGAAACGCGTACCATAAAAGCAGTCATGGCTGGGGTTAAAAGAATTCCTATTTTAAATAGGCATTCAATTAAATTAGCTAAAAAATGTTGGAGTTGAACTGGCCTGTACTTCTGCTGCGCTGCTGAAAGGCATACCAAAGAACAAAAAGAACATGTGCAACTAGTGGGAATGCCAGAATACTTCAGATGTGCCATTGAGGCCTATTTAGAAAACTGTAACAAAGCTGCAGTCAAAGCACTTTCCCCCTTGCCTGCCCGAAATACTCTTTGCTGTAACGAACCGTTTGTGTGATGCTCAAGCTGGGGGCCCACCAGCATCACTTCAGGAACAACGGGCATCTTGCAGTTATTGATTAACCGCAGCTTCTTGTCAGGATGATCAGGGTAAATCAAAGCAAAATTTGATGCTGCAGCTTCTGCAGTAACAGTTTCCTACACAGCAAGGTCAGAGCCTGACCCCAGACCAGTGACAAGCAAAACTCTCACGAGTTTGGCTTGCAAGGATCCAGCCTCCTGCTGCCAGTAACCACGTTAAGCAAAGCAGCTCAGCTCCTTGGTTTACGTGGTTACAGCAACAGAACAGTGACTACCTGAAAAACGACCACCTGAAGTGAAAAATCAACAGATAATTGCTTGAATAGAGATGTTCATCTGCTCAGCAGATGGGGTTGTCTCAGCGGCTCTCAGTTCTAAGAAGCACGCTTGCTTATTTCAGCCCCTACCTTACCGGAGCACAAAATTAATTCGCATTAAAAACGAGTTTGCTCAGGGCAAACACAGACAGCAAGGGGCAAAGTCACCCGGTTATTCAGTAACACCGATGATTAAAAACTCACCAAAATTAACAGCGAGTCGTGCAGTAACGCAGAAGGCTGAGGCAGGAGGCTCGCAGCACCACGTGGGGCTGGGTCTGTCTCCTCTCCAGCCTCCCAGTCTCTGCTCTGACCTCCCCGAGGGACTCAGCCCTTTCCCTGGGACTGCTCTCCCCCAGCCTCTCCTCCTTCCTGGGGACTGACTTAGGAGAGAAACGCAGTGCCTCTTTGTGAGAGCATCACCAAACAGAGGGGGAAGGAGCTGCCTGCCTCACTCTCCTTCTCAGCAGAGCTTCCTCCGAAGCCCACGGAAGCAGCCCGCTGTGAAGGGCTCCTCTAGCAGCACCACCATCTCCAGACTCCAGGAGTGCAGGTGTGTAAGCCACTTGCTCTCCCAACCCAAGCCATGCAGGATTTTTAAGGGCTCGGGGTTGTTTGAAGAAGGGTCTCTTTTCCCTCACCCATTAACAAAAACACCACTTTTTTACCCTTTTGTTGGTAAAGCCTCTCTCTTAAGGAACAACTTGAGAAGAATCCTCAGAAACTGGCTTCCACGGGAGGGCTCTGCACCAAGACAAAGCATCTCGCACAACACAGCTGAGACTGAGGATCCTGGGATCCTGCACAGCCCCTTTTGCATCCCCTTTTGCATAGTATTGATCCCAGGTCAGCTAACTTCAGAGAGCTTCCATTCAAATATAAAAAATAAGCTTGAAAAGAATACCGACAGCCTGCATCACGGGCAACTGCACGGAGCCCTGCGTGGTCACCAGCAGAGGCTGAAGGCCTGGGGAGCCCGCGGGCAGCTCTGTGGCCCTGGGGCTGCAGGAGCAAGCCCCAGCAGCAGGCTCTCCTCCAGGGGACCAGCCACTAGAGGGAGGCCGGGTCCCAGCGTGCCAGCAGCTCGGCCACAAAAATGCAGAGCACTGGGGCTCCTCGCCTCCCTGCCGCTCCGGAATGGGATCTGGAGCTGGGGCTGCGCGGCCAGAGGTGAAGAACTTGAAAACGTACAACGGGAACAGGTTAAAAGGAAGGTTTGTTTCCTTTCCCGGCAGCAAATTCCTGACGCCACCTGAGTGTTTAGAGATGGATCAAAAACCAAAACACCAAGACCCACCGCAAACTGTGACCCCTGGGAACGTTTGTGTCGGGAAGGGGGCACAGGGAAACACCTCAGGGAGTGCAGAACTGCCCCCTTTTATGCCTCAAGCTGTTGCTCCTAAGCACAAAGGGAACTTTAAATAGTTTTTTGTTTAACTCTCCTGTCAGCCATGCCAATATTTTTGACATTTCCCAAAATATCCAGCTTCAGGGAACGAATGTGCAGAACTTTGCCTCCAGAGATTAAAATTCGATAAACTGATAACTAACTGGGAGAAGTGCCTTCGAAAGAAAACACGCTAAGAAACTAATTAAAAGCATGATTTTCAATGCCTTCTCTAATTGAATCTCTGATCTCTGCTCAAAGCATCGTTTTCCCAACAATACACTGTCTGAAAAGCTTTACGAGCCAGCAGTGAAGCCTCCCCACAGCTGATTTAAGATCTGGGGAGTGTCAGTAGGAGTTGCATACCCTCATCTTTACATCTTTCACGTTGTTTTAACTCACATAAGCCAATCTCGGATCTTTAAAGGAACCTATGAGAACCCAAAATGATTAGCCGTGGACTTTTCTCCCGCATAAACACCTTAAAAAAGAGAAACATGACTTCAGTTCGAGTTCTCTGGAACACTTACCTTAGGTGCTGCCTTTTTGGGCTTTGGCTCCGGTTTAGGCGGAGCAGGTTTCTGTACAAAACACATGCAAGAAACACAGAGTCAGAAGAACCCCATAAACGTTTTAGCACGACATCGGTAACTTTTGAAAGCTTCCAAATATGTTGAGCTGACAGCCTCAGTCAATAGTAGTTAGGAGGCAACGTCAGGTCAGACAGATCAGTCTGTTTTGCTGTCCAAAGCCACATTTCCTCGTGTATGTTACAGGGGCCATGGCACAGATGCTGACTAGGAGGAGTAACTGGATCACTGCTCGGTCTGATGGTACTGTGAGGGCAAGCATCTGCCAAAAATTAGATGTATTAACATCTGGCCACAACTGTATAAATGAACACACATCTTAAGCTTTCACTAAAAGTAAATACTTTCTTTTTTAAATAGCAGCAGTTATCTCTTTGGCATTTCCAAGACAGCTTAGGAAGGATTGGGTGCACCAACAGTCTGTAGAAAAGGGTGCCAAGAGCCTCTGCAAGTCTGTGAGCGACTCTGGACTGAATCCTACTGCGTGACACAGATTTACACCCTCTAGGTCTCAGTACCCAACAGTTGGGACCATCAAAATCAATGGGAAAATTACAAGTGTTAGGGAAGCGCGGGTAATTTATACAGCTACGAGCAGGCACCTGTAAGGAGAAGGCCCACAGAGAAGAAACTGTATCGTGAAATCAATACTCCTCAACTCCTGGGTGCCTAATGCATGGGTCCAGGTTGTGTGTTCACTAACAGGGGAACGAAACGCCTTGTGTAACTCACACGAGGTGCCTCAAAGTGAGCCTGTAACGTGGTGGTGCTCAAGATTTGGAAACGCAAAGTAGAAATTTCACTTTTATATACTGCAATACTCCAACCAGGCCTCTCACAGTACCAGTAGAAAAAAGGTAGTTCCTCTGTAAGTGTCCCCCAGAACTTAACATGCCACGAAATGTAGTATTAAGGGTAAACAAAGATACTCACAGCGGATAGTCTAGCTGACCTTCTCTTTGGCTGCGTAAAGAAAGACGTGTCACTGCAGTTCAGCGCATGTATCACCACAACAGTAACCCACCATAACCCAGCATATCGACCCCTACAACCCCTAGGATTTATAAATCCATGGCCACGGTGGCGAGGGCTTCCTAAAAGCACGGCTTTTTTCAACACCCTCCCAAATGAGGCCTCCCTCCTGCCCCAGAGGGTGCCGTTAGGGCTCTGCCACCCCACCTGGCTCTGGGAGCACCCTGAGGCCCCACAGACGGAGCCCTGGGGGGGTTTCTAACGGGTGTGAGGGCACCGGGCAGGGCCAGGCTCAGCCCAGGGCCCCGACCCCACAGCCCTGAGGGGCTGCCATAGGAGGGGGTCTGGGGGCTCGGTGCCTTCTGTGGGACACCCTGGGAGCACAGCAGCGGGTCCTACCTCCTCCTTTGCCTCGCCTTCAGCTGGAGCCTGCAAGGGAAGCGAGAGAAGGGGGTGAGTGGTTAAAAAGGGGGGGTGGTTATAAGGGGGGGGGGGGAGGAGGGCTGGGGACCCCCACAGCGAGGGGGCGGCGCCTGCCTACAACTCCCAGCATGCCTCGCGGGGGGGCCGCCGAGCCGACGTCACGGCGTGGCGCGTTTGAAAAGTTCCCGCCAAATTACCTGCCACAGCAAGGTCGGGGCCGGCCGCGCGCAAGGACAATGCCCCCCCCCTCCCCCCCCCTTCCCCTCAGCGCCCCCCCCCTCTCCTCAGCGCTCTCCTCACGGCCGCGCCTCACGGAGCCCAGAGGGGCTTGGAGGGGCTCGGGGGCAACGGGAGGACCCCCCCCGGGGTCGTGTGGGGAACCGGGGGTTGGGGGTCGAGGGGTCGGGAGGGGGGAGCGCGGCGGGAGGGCGCTGAGGCGGCCCCCGGGGATGGTGGCGGCCCCCCGGGATGGTGGCGGCCGCGCTCGGCGCTTCCCTCCGAGGCCGGTTTCAAATTCTGCGCCGCCTAATGGCCCCAAATCACCATTGCACAACCATCTGGTATGACAAGAAGTGGGAGAGAGGAGGAGGGAAGGGAAGAGAGAGAGAGGAGAGAGAGGGGAAAAAAAAAAAAAAAAAAAAAAAAAAAAGAAGAAGAAGGAGAACAAAGGCAAACGCAGCGCCCGCAGGCACCGCTCGGCACCCGCCGGGGGGCTCCGCTCCGCTCCCCGCCGCTCGGCCCCGCCGCCGCCCGCCCGCCTCTGCCTCCGCCACACGGCAGCGGCGGCCGCGATCCAGCATGGAGCCGCCGCGCTGCCCTCCCCCGCCGGGCTCCCCCCCCCCTCCCTCCCGGCCCCGCTCCCGGCCCGGCCCCGAGCCGGGACGAGGCCGGCGGTGGGGAGGCGGTGGGGGGCGGCCCGGCAGCGCTCCCCCAGCACGGCCGTGCCCCGGCCGGCGCGGCTCAGCCCCCCCCCCCCTTTGGGCACTTACCTTTCTTTTGGGCATAGTTGCGCCTTAATAGTTGGCGGGGAGCGGGAGGACGGAGGTGGCTGCGGGCAAGCAACGCGCCCGGTGGGAAATAATTAAAAAAAAAAATTAATAATAACTGTAAAAAAAATTATATTAAAAAAAATAAACTATTGGGAGCACTGCTGCGGAATTGGCCCCCTCCGGGAAGAAGAAGAAGAAGAAGGAAGGAAGAAAAATAATGATAAAAAAAAAAAAACGCACACAAAAAAAAAAAAACGGGAAAGAAAAAAAAAAAAAAAAAAGCAAGGCGCGCGAGGGCCCAAGAGTTAATTGCAGCAGAAACTGAACAAAAAAAAATCCCCCCCTCTTTATTGCAAACAGTCAAAGCCACCAACACGCAACCAAACTGCATGAATGGGGAGCGCCAGATGGGCCCAGCCGATGACTGACGGCCGCGCCGGCCAATGGGCGCGCGGGATGCGGGCCGAGGGGGCGGGGCCAGGGGCCGGGGGGCGGCGCCGCGGCCGTAGCGCGAGAGGCGCTGGCAGCCGGGGGCCGGCGGCGCTACGCAGTGCGCGCGGCCCGGCCGCCCTCGGGCGCGCGGGGGAAGGCGGGCGGCGGCCGCGCCGCGCCTGAGGGGAGCGGAGCTCTGAGCCGGGGCTGCCCCCGCTCAGCCGCCCGCCGCCGCTCCGCTCCCCCCCGCCGCTCCCCCGCCGCCCTCCGGCCGCCCCGCGGGCTGGGGAAGAAACTTCCCCGAAAGTTGTTGCAGGCCGCAGGACGACAACATGGCGGCCGCCCCCCTCCTTCCTCACACACTCTCCCCCCTCCCCCCCCCCTCTTTGCCCGCGCACACACCCGCCCGCCGCCGCCTCAGGGGCCAGCCCCGGGAGCCGCCGCCGCCGCCGCCTTTGTCCGCTCGGTCCCGGCCTCACGAGGCCCGCGGGGCGCTGCCCGCAGCCCCGGGGAGGCTCAGGGGGACGGGAAGGCGGCGGCGGCGCTCCCTCGGCCGGCCCCGGGGGTCGCGGAGCCGCAGGGCGCTCCGGGGGGGGGCTGGGAGCCGGGCCTTGGGGTAGGCCCTGAGGGGAAGTCCCCGCGGTTCTGTGGCGCCAGAGCGAGATTTGCCCTTGGTTCTGTCACAACAACGCTAACATCAGGGTTTCTAACGCTTACATTATCAGTTTGTTCAGTGAAAACACCAGGCGTGTACTTAAAGCACCTTTAGGACTGCAAACTTCACCTCAAAGACTTAAAGCGGGAGCTGCTGCGCTGAGGCACGGCCTGGCTCCTGGCAGTAGCCAGCTGAACTTTCTGAAAACCTGTTGAACCTCTTCAGAAAGCACAGATTCTGCAATCCTCCCAGATAGCCGGTTACAGCACTTGGCTGTCCTCACCACAAAAAGTTTTTCCCCAGCATCTAAGCTGGTGGTGAATTACATAAACTTTCTTTGCCCAGTGCCTAGCAGACGTACAGAACAGACAATCTGCATCAATTTACATTAACATTTTAGATACTTTATCGTTTCACATAAAATTACCACATCCTTTGTTTAAACTTCATTTTTCTACACTAAGCAAATTCTCACAAGTCTCACGATCTCATAATTCACACTTTCTAAACCTTTTATCATTCTTTGTCTGCTCCAGATTCTTTCCAACCTGGGCTTTTCCTTACATTTACATCCAATAATCAGGTTAATTAGGTAAGCTATCTCTATGGCGTTTGCCAACTTTGCGATAGCATCACAACATTGGTTCAGATCCTTTTTCCGATCCTCTGTAATTCCCAGATCCCTCCCAGCGATACTGCTGTCTGAAAAGCTGTGCCCCCTTTTCTTTACAAATTCATAGTAGCTTTCTGATCTGTCACTTTTTAAATCACCTCATTCTCAAGGTCCATACCTGTCCAGAGTTTTTCTCCATGGACCGTGGAGTTACGCTGAACAATTTTCCACTGAGGTTCACCTTCCTCTCCCTCCAGTCAATGGAGAGCCTTCAAACTCCACGATGTTTTTATAGATACACACTGATTATTCAAAAACTTACTTGGCTGGCCTCCTAAACACTCTGGAGTGCATTTTCCAGACACAGACACTTTTGTGTAACCACAAAGCCAAATCCAATTTAGCACATTCTTCCCTGCTGCTATGTGTTCCTTGTCACCCTTCCTAAAAAGGGTGGTTTGAGAACCAGGTTACAGTTCGCTTGAAGGCTGAAGCAACTAAGACAGTTTTTTGGTTGTGTGGGGTTTGGGGTCTTTTTTTTTTTTTTCTCTTTTTTTTTGGTGCCTTTCCTCTTCTGTCAGCAATAAGTGCGGTTTTCTTTTGTTTTGCTCCTACTTTCAGTGTGTATATATAGAGCAAGTTCCTATATCCTTCTCTGTTCTTTGTCACTGTAACTAATTTGGGACCTTTGCCTCCCTTTTTGTTCCCCCATGCCTGTGCTATTCCATGACAGCAGTTCTGAATTGTGTGCTTTTTTCCACTTTTTGCACAATTTAGAAAGACTGAGTATTTGTCTTTAAAGCTGCCATTAGGGCTCCATTATTCTCCTGCTCATCTTTATGTTGTTTTTTAATACACCTCCTATCTGCCTTCCACGTGAGGATGGTTTGTTGTTCTGCTGATGTGTTTCTTTCAGTAACTACTCACTCTCTTCTTTCCAATCGTGTCAACTTTGTATTTTCAGCCATTCTCTTTTATTAATCAAGATTTTAAATAGTGTTTCCACTAGTTTTCTCCATCCTCTGAGCTAAAAATTGTCTAAAATGCACTTCATGAGCCCTTGGTCTTCTTTCAAGAATCCGTGTCCAGTAATATCTCCACTGCTAACAAGATTTATGCTTCAGTTGCTTTTTGTCAGTTGCCTTGAGAAGTTTCACCTGGCTCCCTGTAGCTATTATTTCCTTCTTTCCATATTCTGTGAAATGTCTTTGTACAATTGTGGGAGAGGAGCAGGAATTCACTGAAGAATCTGTCAGCCGAGGAGAACAACTTGTGTGACAGCAGTTTGGTTGAAAGCTGGGGTCAAAATGGGCACTGGGGAGTAAGCACGGGTATAAAATTCTCAAGGAATTTTGCGTTGCAAGTGCTTTGCCTTCTCCACCTTTATATTTTTACAAAGAGTAAACTACAAATCAGCAGTTAGAAGGTCACTTCCCTCTCAACAGGTAGGATAAACCGTGGCAAGATATTGTGACACTGAGGGTGTAGATGGCTGTTATTGTGCAGGCCTATAGAAAATTACAGAGCTGGCTATACCTACGGATACTGTAAACACCCTCCCTTCAGGCCAAGTGGAAGGAGTAATTAAATGTTCCTTTATGTAACTGGAAAGAATAGGAAGTCACCTGTCAAATAAATGGGCCATGGCTGGCTGAATTCTCTTCCAAGTGGCAGCAGTAGCTGTGTGTTTAGCTGTGCTCATCACCAAGCAGCAGGTAAGAGAAGCGCTCGCGTGCTCGGGCACGCTCAGAGGACCTTTAGTCTGTGCTGGTCACCTTCCTCACAGCAGGCCGTGGTTCCACGGGCGTGAATGCAGCAGCAGAGATCTGAACCAGACAGGGAACAGGCTCCCTGGCATTAATCCCAGCACACAGCACGGAGCTTACGTTGGCTTTAAGACTGTGTAGTAGCTTTATGTTGGCTCTGGAAAGACAAAAAGGATTTGATAAGACACGTCAGAAAGCCATGCAGTGATGCAGCTAACCTGGCATACAGGTCGCCAGCACAGAGTCAGCCAGTTAAAGCCTTCTGACAAATTAGATCCAGGAGGGTAATTTCCTCTGGATCATTGACTTGTACCGTGTGACCCCTTTCTGGCATTTTTGCTACAACTGGTAGTTTTGATTCGGTGCAAAAAGGCCTGAGCCTGAATTTATGTTACATCACTGGCCTATGTCACGAGTAAATCAAAGCAACAAACCAGAAATTAATCTGCTACTGCTTCCATGAGAAATCTTCATGCTACAATTTGAATCCTGCAGAGCTATTTGAACCAGGCTGTTGACTCACAGAGGTAAAAACATTCCATCTGCAAACAGAAACATACCATGCCTATGTCAAAACAAAACTACCCAACACTGCCAGCGCCCTGAACAAGCAGTCAGCTGCCCACACTAAACTTCTAGAGCAGTACTCGAACGCTGACTAATTTTTAGAGTTTGTAATTTTGGGAAATTACAGAGAACCGAAGTGCAAGAAAATAGTTTCGGACTGAAACTATCACAGCTCGGCCCAGTTTTTGCCCCTTGATCTTTGCAAAATCAGGCAACCCAACTTGATGCCAGCGTGGTGTGACTGCTGTTTGTTGCGTTTATGACTCAATCATCTCGGGGACCTACATCTCTCCAACATCCTCCAAGGTGCTGTTGACCAACTCGTGAAAGTTTTCAGGCTGTTTGCTGGCTCACAGTATCTCATGTATATTTCCCAGCTGTTGCCCAAGGCAGGAATTTCCTGCAGAGAGGAGGAGAGCCTCTTCCTGATACCAGAGGAGACCTCTAATACTTGACGAATGTTTTCCTAGGTCATGTTTTTGCATTGATGCAGATTAAGATATTTCTGAACAGAGGCAAAATCCACCAGCATTGCTCCTGGTTGATTGATTTCCAGCCTTCCCCCAATAGGCAGGTTACCTATACGTTGTTTTGTCTCTCCTTTGAGCTCACGCCATGTGAGTTTTGAATGCCAGGAGATTCATTCCCACCACGGGATCTCAGGTCGTCTTGCAGCTCTCTTGGTCGTGCTGTTCAGACCTGAGGCATTTTATTCCAACTCCTTTGTGCAAAGACTTGCTCTTACCGAAGGTGCAGTGATTATGCCATTGTGCAGCAGCAGGAGCTCTGGAAGCAGAAAGGTGGAGGAGATGCATCTGCGTGCTGATGGCACAGCAAGGCCACCTTCACGGCCTGGCTGAAATCTGCCCTGACAGATTTTGTTACCCCAGAAGCGAGCGTAACACAGGCTCTGGACAGAAACCTCTCAGCCTCCTCCATCTAATTATGAACAACCCCATCAGGATGAGTTCAGAAGCAGGGGAAATTGGGATTCTCTCTGTGCTCGCAGTTATGGCACATATGGTAAGGAGTCGATGTTAATCCACGCTCTTCTGTGGCAAAATACCACAGGACACATTTTCATGTTGCGTACCTGGCATCTCAAGTGTCTGCTGGCCTCAGCGTATGTAACTTTTGGGATGAGTGGCTTATTGATCTACAGGAGATGTTTGTGCTTGGTTAATTTTATTGTTTGTCCTGGGTAATTTTATGGTTTGTCCTGGGTAAAAATTGACTTGTGTGTCAAATTTGATATTGATTGCAATGAAACATTTAGTGCTTGTTAATCTGGGAGTGCGAGGGTGTTAACTCTGTTGGTTGGTTAGAATTCCCATTGGTCTATTTGTTCACCTTTACTTCAGGGAAACCCTTTGGCTTAGCT